TGTCATTTCCCACCATCCAGTCAGAGCTGAAGAAGCTTCTTGGATGAGAAGCCAAACACCTTCACAGAAAAAAACAGAAATTCCCGTTGCCTTTTGAAAAAAAGCATCTTTGGGATGATCAGTTAGTAATGATGAGTATGAGTCAGTTGCCAAGTGTCTTAATTTTGATTGGGTGATTCTAGGGAAGCTGCAATACTCATAAGTGTGAAAAATGGTCCTAAGTCCCTTTTGTCAGTGTCGTCATAACTTCGAACGGTCACTACACGAACTGTTGTAAGTCGAGGACTAGCTGCATTATAGGAATTTGACAGCTTCGAAGTTCAATCAACGCTTTACAGATAATTATTCCCAGAAACAGTGTAAATATATAGAATCACAACTGGTACGATTTTAATTTAAAAGATCCCCCTCTCTCTCTCTGTAGCTTTATAAAGACAATCCTCAGCTTACAACCATTCGTTTTAACAGCCATTCAAGGTTACAACAGCATTGAAAAAAGTGACCTGTCTTCATACTCACAACCACTGTAGCATCCCCATGGTGACAGGATCAATATCTAGGTGCTTGGCAACTGGCATTTATTTATGACAGTTCCTGTGTCCCAGAGACATGTGATCTCCATTTGCAATCTTCCCAGCTGGTTTCAACCAGAGGTGGTATTCAGCAGGTTCTGACTAGTTCTGGAGAACCGGTAGTGGAAATTTTGAGTAGTTTGGAGAACCGGCAAATACCACCTTTGACTGCCCCAGCCCTCATCTATTCTCTGCCTGCCAGCTGATCGGCTGGGTGTTCTTTTGTTGCCCTGCAAGGAGAACGGAGCTGGAAAGCAGGTTAGTGAGGTGGGGAGGGAATTGGGATTTTGTAGTATCCTTCCCTTGCCACACCCACCAAGCTACAACATGCCACCAAGCCGTGCCCACAGAATCGGTAGTAAAAAAAAATTGAATCCCACCACTGGTTTCAATAAACCAAGTTAAGGGGGTAAAACTAAATTCACTTAATGACTATGATTCACTAAACAACCACAAAAATGTGGTAAAATGGAGTGAGACTCACTGAACAACCACTTTGCTTACCAATGGAAGTTTCAGACCCAATTGTAGCTGTAAGTCGAGGACTATCTGTATAAATTAGCCTACTTTGCCCAAGAAATGTCTCCCATAAATCTTCATCACCACAGATTATTAACATTTAACAGTGTTACAGATCTACTTCCATGCTGTACTAGAGGCTACACAGACCAACTGTATCTTCTCGCAACCAGGAATGGCATGCTGACTTCCCTTCTTACCTGACATTGCCCATGGGAGTAATGGTGCCTCCAAACAGCTCCATGCCAATTATTGCAAATGCATAGAAAGCCACCTGTGAAATAAAAGTTGACACGATACTGAAGCCAACTGAGAGCGATGCAACAACACGGTGCAAGCTTCATTTAGTTGACACAATAAATCAGAAGTGTGGATTATTGTTGAATTCTTAACTTCTCCTCCCCATTCCTTAAGCTTACACTGCCTGCATCGTATTTCCAGGAGAGTGACTCATGATTTGATGTTCATTCATTTACATGAATACAAATGCATTATTTTTTTGGTTCAGAGCTACCAGCAGTCTGCACAAGAGGTTTGCTGTAAGTCGCTGCACTGCTCTGGAGAAACAGCAACTGGCAAATCCAGGGATATGCTTAATTTATGTCTGGCTGTATTACCTGGACTTCTCATAATTGAACTTGCATTTTCCAGGTACAAAAAGAGAATTGTTAACTTTGAATTATAAAAATAGAGAAGGAATGAAGGCAGCAAATATACAAAAGAGTCTCCTTTGGCAATCTTAAAAGTAGATACACTCAAGAAAATTTAAACCATCTTCTTGTTCATACGCTTTTTAACTGTGTAATGCTCTTCCTAAGGTTATAACAGCTTCTCCAATCACATTGTTTGGAGGGAGTGCAGCCAAATATCCCAATAACCTAACTTTATCCACTGCTATTCCTAAAAATACAGCATGTTCACAGAGGTAGGCTGCAGTGCTTCTGCACATAATAGATGTTCCTTCAAACAATTAATTACTTCACTGTGATTCTCATTACCCTGATTTTCAGATGGACACTAAGTACTTTCTGGCAGAAAAACATCATAACATCTATATGTGATTTTTTTTTTAAATGTCAACTTCTTTTTATAAAAATGATCACATAAATGCTTTCAAATGTTATCTATGGGGTCAGTTTTTTAAAGGAACAAACAGTGTATCACAGCAAATCTAATGGAGTCACTTAGAATAGCATCAATATGTGGCATACACAAATTGTATGTGTATGCCTCCTTTTCTCATACACACATGTTATTTCTGGCCTTGCTTTAAGGAAGATAAACATTTCAGTGAGCCTGGGAAAATTGTTAGTATTTATGTCTCTGTTATGGAAAAATCCCATGGATTATCTGCCAAAATATTTAAAAGATTTTAATTGCGCTGGATTATTTTCAACCTGCGATGCATAAACCGGCCAACAGGTGGAGCTCTCCTCCTTGTGATAATCATAGAAAGTCAAATGAATTATTATGTCAATTTGTTAAAATGAAGTAGATAGTATATTTTAACAAGTGCACACAAATGATTACATGTCTCAAAGCAACAAAAAGGTTTTCTGCAACTGAAAGCTAGAAATAAAGCTAGAAAGCTAAAAAGAAAGCCAGCAAGAAAGGGAGGGAGAATGTAAATAATTCTCAAAATTAAGACCCATTCTAAATTTGAATGATAATTAGTTCTACTCTAGAATCTCTTTCTAAAGATGGAACATCATGCAAAAACTAACCATGGGTACACTATTAGGAAAGTATCACAGTATTATACATCTAAAACTCAAGAAGTAACATCACTGTGGTTTTAGTGCAAAGGAGATCAAATGTTCTAGCAGAAATTTTCTTCTCTCTCATTATGTAACAATTGTTGAGGGACTTATGATTTCTTAAGGCCTAATCCTTTCAGCAATCTAGCAGTAGGATGAATGGAATACATCATGCAAGTATTCTTGTGAATGGGCAACAATATATACTTAATACATAAATAAGTAAAATGCTTTCTTTTGCCAGTTCACAGAGACCAACAATGTTCAGCTCATTGACTCCTTCATGAAGTTTCAAATTGTCCAAACATTTATTATATGAAAATAATTTAATAAATATCACTTTAGCAAATAACACAAATAACAATAACAATAATGGACTGTTGTTGATAATAACAGATTGGGAGTCAATACTGATCACTTTGAAATATAATTGGTCCTGATTATAATTCAAAGGATCCATTAATAATGCAAGTATCACCAGAGGTGAGGAGACGAAGAACAAGTAGGAGAAACAAATTCAGATATTAATATTTAAAGATATGATTCTCAGAAAGGCCACAAGTGAACAAAAAAAGTTACGGATAGGAGCTATTTAACTGAGACCATAACTGCTGATAGCATTAGAAAGATTCTCTTTCTCCTTCTGTTGCAACCTGATGGAATTGTCCAATAATGTTCACTACATTTACCATATAACATCCAAAAGAAAATTCTGGGGCACTCCAAAGCAAGAGGTATTTTAATGACAATATGTAACTGATCTTTGCTAATCCCAGAATATTAAAAGTACTTGGATGAGAGACTACAGGAAATCCCTTAGCCATACAAATGACAAGAAAGTCTGTCTGTTGGTACAGTGATTAAAGACACCAAGCTGGAAATCAGGAGACTGAATTATAGCTCTGCCTTAGTCACAAAGCCAGCTGGGTGACTTTGGATCAGTCACACTCTTCTCGACAATAGAAGGCAATGACAAACCACTTCTAAAAATGTTGCAAATTACAGAGACCTGTCCAGTACATAGTTTCTAGGACTCAAGACTGTTCCAAAGGTGTGTATGCAAACATACACACAAACACAAATACCATATGCTGTATGAATAATTTGGCGCATGGAAAATTTCAACAACATAGCACACACTCCATGAAAATTCTTACATGGCTCCTATCTTCCTCATAGATTGGTGTCTTGGGGAGAACAAATAAATAAGACTGGGGAAAGATTCCTCATTCCCCAGACTATTCCATTCAAAATATTTTTTAAAAAAACCTTAAAAGCAAACAGCATCCTAGAACTGGATGTTTTCAGATGTTTATAAGCTATCAGAATCTCAGTTGCCCTTGCATTTTTCTGGTTCCCAAACATTGTCTAAATAAGCATTTCCCTTCTTTAATTTCTTTTTTTTTTAAATCACAAAATATTTTTCTCCATTCATGGAATACTCCTGAAATGTGTAGAAGTTGCAAGTGTAGTTTTGCTTCCCCACTGACACCAAGTTTGCTGTCTGTGCGAACTCTGCACGACTCATCTGTCCTCCCTGTACAAAACACTGTTCCCTAAAGACAACAGCATTAAAGACTCCAACCAGCATGAAACAAACAAAATGTTTAAAAATTATTATATTGATGTAGTTACTTACCAAGCACATCTAAATTATATTAAAGCAACCAAAATATCTTTACAATCCCCAAGGCATGTCACAACTTTTGAGCACCCATAATGTTTGGAAACTGAAAGTTGAGAAATTTGACACTCCCTAAACAGGCTCATATGTGTATCCCTCTATCCCTCCCGCTATAATGTCTTCTGATGATGTCCTACATAGCAATTCACGTTTAGAGCTCATTGCCTGAATACTTTAATAGGAATACAAGACATAAAGGACCTGTGGGAAATATGAAAGCCATCATTTATCTGTGAAAACATTCCTGCATCTAGACATATCCTCTTTCTCTGGGAAGTATTTTTTAGGCTTGAAGTATGCCTCTAATTCACTCCCCCCCCCCCCACCGCCCCTCAAAAAAATACTAGGTATATACTGGTACAGATTACGCTCTCTTTAGCTGACAATTAGTTTCCTATGAGTCAGCTGCACTTAGTATTTCATAGATCCTGGAAGTTCACAGCTCATTCTTAGTCCATGTCTTTTTTAAATTTTATTTTCTTATAATAGATATATGCCTATAAACTTAGGGAGGTCCCATATAGCTATTATTATCTTTGTACTGTGTGCTTGATCAAGTTCAGAATTAGACAGAAAAAGAGATAGAAAGATAGAGTGGATGGGCAGTATTTGTTTCCATAAATTGCCGATGTTTCTTGATAAAAATTTCATAGATGACGGAACAAAGAGGCACAAATCATTCTTAGGTTGTTGTTGTTTTTACTTACAATCAAAATTCCTGCAAAGGTTCTTATGTTTTTCACTAAATCCAACAGTGTACTGGCAACTAAAGACATGAACTTTGGAGGGAGAAAAGAAAAGACTCATTAGTGTGTTTATTTTTTGACATTCTTTAGTCTTAAGAGAGAAAAGCAAAATTAAAATCTATACCAAAAAAAATGAAATTACTGTAATGTTTGGGATGATCCGTAAAAATCTGAACACAATCAGCATATTTGCTAGACGAACCATGTCCCATAGAGACAGCAAGCCCAACATTTCAGGTCTCCTAGAAGAACAGAAAAAAAAAAAGATTTGCAGGGGAAAAAACAGAGAGGAGCAACCAGCAACATTAAATGTGGTTGCTCTTTCAACCAACCAAAACATAACTTTAGCAATGCCAGATATTGAAAAAAAAGAGAGATAAAAATCAAGACCATACATAATAGCCTGAATCTTAATTCTCCATTCTTGAATGATTTTGTTAGTCATTATTTCAAGATTAAATATAACAGGATGGAGCTTACACATATTTACAACAGTTTCAAAGGTGTTGTGATCTGATAGGGTTATACCACTTTTATTTTTCACTCCTTTTTATAAGGTTTCCTTACCAAGACATACAATATCAATGCTATGTGGCAAAATCCCAATATTGTAGTCTTTTCTCTGTAGAAACATAGACCTTATATTCACACTATTTTAAAAGAGTACCTTGATAATTCCAAATTACTGAATCAGTCAGAAAAAAATTGTTTTGCATGATGTAAGAAATAGCTTCTGCTTTTGAGTTTTTCTACTCCAATATTCCAACAGAACATATTCAACTGTTACTACCATTAAAAAAGTGCTGTAGATACCAATTTCAAAGTAACCAAACATTGCTTACTAGGGACACATACCAGCCTGGATGAGGAAACCCATATACAGCAAATGTGGACACCTCCAAAACCTTTGAGAAGAAAAGAAGTAAAAAGTAAAAATTATAACCAATTGGGGTATAACATGTCCACCTGTCAGCAAAAACAGGCCAAAGCTAGCAAAATGATTTCCTATCTGTGCAGCATCTACAGTGACCTCCAATGTTGTTCAAGAGATGGGAGCAGACGGCAGGGGAGAGGCAGCAAAAGGGCGCAAGGAAGAAGAGATTAAGAAGTCCATTTGTTCATCATTGGGTCAGAGCCATTTATTATAAATTAATATTATTCAAGTATAACATGGGAAAAGAAAATGAACAATGACAATGCTCAACAAGAAGTTTTTAATTTAAAAGGAAGACAGTTTTGAATTTAAAATTAGCACCACCACCCCTTCCATAGTGTTTGACAGGGTAAAAATAAGTGGTAAATACAAATAAAGTCTTATATTTTGCCCATTTCAACTGCCAACTTCTACTGAAATCATTCCCGGAAATATATATGTGCATGTCTGCATGTGTGCATGCAGGCATCATAGCCTGAAATGAAATTAAAAACAAGGGCAATGCTAGCCAAAATATTACACTGTCATTCAGTCAATGAGTACTAAATAAGTTAATTTCCTATCAAACATCTCATCTGAATAAGGTCAGAAGAGTGAGTTGATTCCCATCTACCTATCTTCACAGACATATATGTGCATACTATATATGTCCATATATACCTACATACAAACACCCCACCCTCTTATTTAAAAATCCGTGGTAGTGCAGTGGTTAGAATGTAGTACTGCAGGCTACTTCTGCTGACTATTCAATTCTCACCAGCTCAAAGCTGACTCAGCCTTCAATCCTTCCGAGGTTGGTAAAATGAGGAACCAGACTTTTTTTTTTTTTTTTTTTGGGGGGGGGGGGGGCTCTAAAGCACTGTGAAGCAGTATATAAGCCTAAGTGCTATTGCTATTTGAACACGTACAAAGAACAACATACACACCCACTTAGAAAAATGGAAACCATGGCCTCAGAAGCGATAAGAGGTTTTCATAAAGTTCAAAGGAATATCTTAATGAGATTTGTTCCAAAAAAAAAAGCACTTCTTGAAAACTCTTCTGGAAAAACTATTATGTAAAAGCAGAAGGGAAATAATTCCATGACACTTACCATCAGAACCAAAGTCAGAAGTCCATCGAATATGTTGCTTGGATAGGATAAGTATCTTTTTAATCCCAAGGCCACTAATTTCAGCACTATTTCCAGAAGGTAGTACAAAATGAAGAAACAGTTTGTAACCTTGAAAAAAGAGAGTTAAAGTGCAATTAAAACCAGAGCTTTTAGCGAATAACAAGAACAGGGTCTCATGGGAACAGATGGTCTTACCCCTAAGAAAAAGTCATCTCGGAGAGTAGGTGGCTTATCTGCATCTATTACCATGACTCCCTGGGAAGGAAAATGATCACAGGTTATCAGAGGCAAAACAACTGTAGTACATTATAATAGTGCATCTAGGACATATAAAGTAGTCATGAAAAATTACACACTCCATGAAAACTGTTAGTCAACCAACTGACTACTATTTGTTAGGTACAAAGTTATTACTGCATGCCAATCAACTTTTAGAAGATTTTCTAGGCTAATCTCACCAGTCGTATATGAACTGATCACTGAACTGCTTTTTATTTGACTCCTCAAATAATATAAGCATGCAATGGCTTATAGAAACATATCCCCCAGGCCTATAGTATTCAAGAACACATTGTTAGGCTACTCCCACAAGGTCCTGCTTATATACAACTGCAAACATAAATATCAGCAAAGTCATTGGATAAAATATCTGACCAAGACTAGAGAGATCTAGGTTCAAATCCTGATTTATCATGAAACATCTTAAGATACAGCTGGGCAGTTGCACAGCCTCAACCTAATTTATCTCACAGTTGTAAAAATAAAATAAAGACATCAGGCCAGTCCTTAGGTGCTGGATCCTTAATCCAGGACTCCTGTCAGTGGACCAGATGAAGCTAACTTACATAAAATGATTAGAGATTTCCTAATACTTTAAATACTTTTCTTAAGTATTTTTCTTACATACAATATGGAAAGGACTTTCCCTACCAAGAGAAGACGCTACTTCGAATGGTACCATATACTTACGCATACGCAAAAAATATTTGCTACTGCTACAACGTTTCCTAAATAGCCAAAATAGTGATGGCCAAAGATAAACTGAACTCGTTGTAAGAAGGGTGACTGATAATCTGGTTTGGGAGGACGCTGAAAAGAAAGCAGAATAAAAAAAGTCTGTCAGGAATTATTTTTACAGAGTGCTTTGAAGAAAATGTGGCCTTGGGATATTGTCTGAAAAGGGCATACCATTTCATCAGTTTGATGCATACGCGTGAGCAATGTCTGCTATTGAAAGCACTGCAAATAGTCCTTGATTTACAACCATCATTGAGCCCAAAATTTATGTTGCTAAGTGAGACATTTGTTAATCGAGTTTTATCCCATTCTATCACCTTTCTTGCCATAGTGGTCACGGTAGTTGTTAAGTTAGTAACATGGTTTTAAGTGAATCTGCTTTCCCCCATTGACTTTGCTTGTCAGAAGGTCACAAAATGTGATTATGTCATCCCAGGGCATTACAATGGTCACAAATATGAGTCAGCTGCCAAGCTTTTAAATTTTGATCACATGATCATGGGGATGCTGCAATGGTCGTGTGGAAAAAGGTCATAAGTCACTTTTTTCAATGCTGTTGTAACTCTAAAACAGTCACTAAATGAACTGATGTAAATTGAAAATTACCTGTATATATGATTCTCCTTAAGTTTATCCTCTTTTTAAAGGCTGGGGGGAGGCGGGGAGGATATCATGACAGAATGGCAGAAAAAGAAATTATACCCACATCTTTTTAAATGCATAGCTTGGACAATGGTTCATTAATAAAAAGGCTTCTAATCCAAAAATGGATATGGCTCAATTATCAGCACTGAATATAGTACTTATCAATATCTGAACAATTCAGAGCAGGGGTCTCCAACCTTGGCAACTTTAAGACTTGTTGACTTCAACTCCCAGAATTCCTCAGTTAGCAAGACTGGCTGAGGAATTCTGGGAGTTGAAGTCCACAAGTCTTAAAGTTGCCAAGGTTGGAGACCCCTGATTTAGAGTATACCTGGTACGTAGGTAGGCTCTGGCATAGTAGACAGTATCCCACTGTTGTAGATATTTTTACACAAATTACTGAAAATATTACATTCCTCATAAGAATCTTAAATTTAGGCAGCAGAACATTAGTAGTCTCATTTGAAAGCAGAGAAACACTACTAACAGGATACATAACTTCCAACCTCTAGAATGCTTCTAAAAGTCACTACTCAGACAAAATATTTAATTTACAAAAGGGGAAACATTCGTTCGTCTTAATCATGTCTATTTCTCTGATTCATAGCCAGCTTACTTTTGGTACCACAAACTATTGAAGCCAAGAGTGACTTTTGGCCTGCATTTCCTGTTCTGATGTTATGTTCATCCATCCATCCTTGCCATTCACATATACAGCCCTCACCACTTCCTGAAAACAAAGTTTCAGAAATGTCTTTTGAAACATGTCCTTGTTTCTTATCACTTTCCATTGTACAGAATTTCAAAGTGGTTTTATAACAGTGCTACAGGAAAAGAAAAATAGTACGTAAAAGCAGCAGCTAGGGAAAGCCAATAAAAAATGTGAGTCTTCAAGGCATACTTAAAAACATACTAAAGCATGTTTTAAGCATACTTAAAAGCATACCAGCTACTGGACAGGTGTACCCCTGTAAAAATCTGTCCAGTTTCTTGATATTGCCAATAATTGTTTTTCAATTTCATTACATATATAGACAGATTCAAGTATTTAGAGCTCACAGGTTTATACAAATCACATCAACAATAGTTAGTCTCATACCTCTTTAACTTTATGCTTGTCAAGTTCATCAAAAAGTGTCTGAAACTGAGTAGCTGTCAGCCCTCCTGGGGGACAAGATTGCAGTTTCTGCACATGGAACAGAAACAGGTATGAATCACACTTGGGTCTATAAAAACAGTTATCTTTAAAACAAACTAAAGTAACACATACTTAACTAAAAATGGTGTCCTACCCTAATGATTGCTTCTTTGCAATAGGAATCCATTTTTACTTTCTGGAGGACTTGAAGGAGAGCTTCAGATTGGACACACAAGCTAGGAAATCAAAAGACACATAAACCTTCTGCTGTTCAGCCTTCACACAAACATACCTTGTGCATAATTATGCACAATTACTAATTAACATTTAATATTGCACAGTACTTAAGCAAAATGGTTTGGATAAGATCAGGATATGTGGGACTGATTGGGGTAGATTGTAGGGTGACATCAAAATATAATTTTATCATATTTTATTTATCTATATATTAAATTATTGTATTTTATTCCAATTTCTTTGTAAACTGTATTTTATTCCAAATTCATTTTAAATTGTTTTTATCGGATTTTAGTTATAATAATTAGTGTCTAGAACTTTGCACTTTGATATGGCCCAAGGGCTAATCAATAAATTAAACTAATTTTCCACCAGTTCTTTAAGATGTCTTTCACTTACGTATTTTTATTGATTGCAGTCTCTGTCAAAGAACAAAGAACTTCAAAGGCAGCCCGGATTCCCAAGCGTCTCCGGAAAAGCGATGACTGAATTGATTTCTAAAAAATGTATGAAAGGAAAGCCCATCGAAATTAACAGCAGACAGATACAGATTACTACTCCAACAGATATTTGTATAGGTCATTACTATACAGACCACTAGTCCAATAGATATTTATAAAGGTCATTACTGTGAAAGATAAAAGTTACAGAATGTTTTGAAACAGCAATTACTGAAACCCAAAGATTGGTTTTGCCAGAAGTACAAAATCAGGATGACCAGAAAGGAAATGAATATTATCCAACTATAAATTTCTCAAATTTCTCAATATCAATTCAAAGGAATTATGAATACGAATCTCAGAAAAACAAGCTACTTTCTGACCTACTTAGGAGCCAAAGGTAGATACCACAGGTGGCTCTATTCCCCATTTTTGTAGTACGCAAAGACCAACACTCAACAACTAATGTCCAAGTCATAGAGGCTAACGAAAATCAAAGGAAGGACATGTATGCCGTGTGACAAATTAAAATACGGAAAAATATTTAACACTGCCTATTCAAGGGGAAAATTTCAGTCCATATACTGCAAATGTCATCAGTATAGCATCAGCCCAGTGCTTAATGAAAGATTAACTTGTTTCCATTAACCAAAGTTTATCCAATATTAAAACATGGAAGTTGAAGAAAATATTTTATTGCTTACGGACAAGAAACCCAGCAGTGTTATTTCATATATTTTTTATAATTGTAATACAAAGGGACAATATTTATATAGTAAAGACAAATCTTGCAGAGGAAACTCTTTTTTGTGTGTTTATATAGGCTTTCACTGAATGTTAATCTGTTGGAATACATGTGAGAATGTATTTGTATTGCAACAATTACAGAATTATTCAGTCAGTAGATGGCAGTGTTTAGTTTGCGTAATCTATGGTTCCTTTTGTTCTGACAGTTGAAACCATTAAGCAAGGCCCATGGTGACTGTACACTATACACTTTATTTACCCTGTATGGCTATGTAACCATCCTCTGTTACCAATCTGTATGGCTATATAATAAACCTCTGCTACCATTTCTATATAATAAAACAGAATTTCTAATTTCCAACAAATTCATGTATTCAGCTGAAGTGTTGCCAGCTAACAAAATATCAATGTTATGTTGAATTCTACATAAGCTCAGATCATTACATTCTTTTGTTAATTTTTGACAAGTTAATTACATTTTGTTTATGCAATGGATATTATATTACTTTTTTTCTATAATCTGAGAAGACTAGAAACAGAGGCTGTTTAGAAATAGAGCCATGTTTAGAAATCAAGTGGGAAAAACTTCACCGCATGGGAGAAATTGTGTCATATGAAGAGAACTTTGGAAAAGACACATGTTGGATATCTGAAAAATCTAGTCTGATCTATATCCATTCTGCAATTAAAATATCATAATTATGGAATGAGCAAATATCTTGCTGAAAAATGCTTATTCACCATTTTAGTTTTCCAAACTTTTAAGATTATGATTCCATTCACATAAGAAGAATGTCACAATCATCATCACAATGGGACAACCACTAGTCTATGGCAGGCAGTCAAGTTCATAAATCATGGTCACAACATTGACATGGCGGCAGCATTTTCCTCCACAGCAGAAGTGTAAGTTCAAGAATATGATGTTTGTAAGGTCTCCTTATATCTACCATTTCATGGTGACAGCTGGGATGACACAGTGGTTAGAATGCAGTACCACAGGCTACTTCTGCTGACTGCCATCTGCCTGCAATTTAGCATTTCGAATCTTACCAGATTCAAGGTTGACTCAGCCTTCCACCCTTTCGAGGCTGGTAAAATGAGGATCCGGATTGTTGGGGGCAATATGCTGACTCTGTAAACCACTTAAAGAGGGCTGTTAAGCATTATGAAATGGTATATAAGTCTAAGTGCTATTGCTATTGCTGTTCCAGTTGCCATGACATCAAACACTACATTTCCTGTTCAGTAGCCTAAACTCTGATTTAGCACTTTGAAACTATGATAAATTGTAACATTTTGTTAAACCTCACTTACCAAAAGATATCCCCGAAACTGATTGTATATTATTGCTGTCAACAAGTTCATCAGAAATAAGTTTCCTGTAACAATATGAAATTATCTTATTTTTTTTAGGCAACAGTATAGTTTTATTTGTTTTCTTCCTGCAAACTACAACAAAGAATTAACTCAATCTTTACATTCCACTCAATCTGAACACACAATTGAAAGAGCATACTAAAGCAACTATGGCAAGAACCTTGCTTACTCCTTGTATTGTTAAAAAGAAGCAATACAACAAAATGCAATGACAGAAAATTGCCTGTGGAAGAGCGCATGCAGCCCTCATAAAGGATCAGGAGAACCATGCAGTACTAGGAAGTATGAATCACCAATTAAATTGAAAAGAAATAAACTAGATAAATCTCATAGGATTGCATTACGCAGGCACATGCTAGGTCTACAGTGTGTTGAAAGCCTTCTCATAAAACATTGCCAATTAATATTTGTTTGCTTCTCTACAGCCTCTTCTCTGCACTACCATCCTAGACAAGATGGAATCCCTCATTTTCTGCAAACATTCTGAACACCTCAACAGACTCCGGGAGTGCCATAGACATGTCTACTGTGAATTTCCTTAGTCAGGAATCAAAAACTTACAGCTTTCCTTCAGAAGCTCAGAATTAGTTATACTCCAAATTTCTTTTCACCTGGCTCCCTGTCCTGATTACAACCTGCCAGGACACAAGTTTTCCTCTAATGAATTTCCTAGGGGAGTTTATAAGTTGCATTTAGGAGCTATGGTGGCACAGTGGTTAGAATGCAGTACTGCAGGCTATTTCTGCTCACTGCTGATTGCCAGCAGTTTGGCAGTTCAAGTCTCACTGGCTGAGGTGAATAAAATGGGGAGCCAGATTGTTGGGGGCAATATGCTGACTCTGTAAACTGCTTAGAAAGGGCTGTAAAGCACTGTGAAGCAGCATATAAGTCTAAGTGCTATTGCTATTGTTATTTACAAGTTCCCAATAAAACTAGTGAATCCTTCCCTGCTTAAGATGATACGTACATTGTAGCCCTCAGAGCTTAAGAGCAGAATTCACTAACAATCAGAAAAGTAGACCATTGGTTACCCTTATATCTTCAGTCACACCTCCATTTAGCCACTCACTTTTTATGCACATTCTGAAATTACCATCACATGGTAAAGAATGAGTTTACAATGCATGGCTTCTTTGGGTCTTCTATTCAAAGAAACAATCAACTTACCTATCACAGTGAAGAGTATAAAGAAGATGCAATATGCTCGATTCTTAGAATATGCAGGAATCATCACTGTCCAATAGTTAAAAAAAACAATAAATCAGGTTTAAGAAATGTCATGTTTAAGGTACTAATAATTAATAATAATCCTTAAACAGAGACTTATGTAGTTTTTAGCAGTGAAACAGGGAATTCATTTTAGCAGTTATTTGGGAACTCATCATTATCTGATGCAAATAAGGGTCTGCAATTCCTGGTTTGGGTTAGAAGCTACGTAATAGATTACAAAGGCCTATTTGATCATGCTAAGCCTTATCTTAATCTAGCTTTTTTGCCCCTCTCATAAAACTCTCTGCCAAAAAAATATCTCAGAAATATCAAAAGAAGGGTTTAAAAGGGAACAGGCCATTTTTCCATTAGCCTTCCCATTCAACTAACATATGGAGAGCTCCTTGGGAATCAGGCATTCTTTAAACCTATGTAATCAAATATGTACATTCTACCCCCAAACGAGAAGTAAGACAGCAGCTCTTGGTAGACCTGTTCTAGATGAAGGTATACAATGTCTTTTGAACACCCTCAAACTTAGTTACTATCACTAGTTCTTGTGATGATGAATTCCACATATTAATTATTCAATGTTTTTATGGAATCTGGATCAGCATATAATATGAGAGAAAAAAAAGTTATTTATATACACTTTTTTGGGGGGTGGGGGGGATAAAATGTTGCTAAAGAATGAAGAATCTCTGAGGTTAGCCACAAATTAAGAAGGAAGAAGAAAGTATTTTTGGAAAAGGATCCTTACCATCTGGATTGTTTGCAGTTGTCAACAGTACCAGCAATGAAGTTAATGAATCGGTCAAATTATGAAAATATCCTTGCCATTCTTTATCCTGTTGGGCATCCTAACCACAGAGAACCAAACTGTTAGCAAACAGAGTAACCAATCAAAGGCACTTAAGAGCTATGCACTGTCACCTTTGGCCACCCATTCAATCCAATCAAATATCAAATACAGATTTCATTTAATGGGCTGAAAGGAATCTAGTTTATACAACCCAAGGTAATCAACCCAATTACTTCTCTTGCAGTTGCTTCAGGCAGACAAGTATTTCAATATCCAAATACAAAAGACATTATTTAAACTGCAGAAAAAAGAAATGTAGGACAGAACACATCTGGTCTCAGATAGTACTTCGTTTTAGTAACTTGTTTTCTGGTCAAAACAAGCTATTTCCACATAGCACACTCTATGTTGATGTAATGTTTAACTAGTTACAATTTGGAACCTGTTCCTTCTATACTACATTAATATTGGAAATTCAATCCTATAAAATAAAAACATTGCAAATGGTAATTCCAGATAATCCAACAGATTTTATTTTTCCTTCATGAGACTAAGTGGAATGCAAATGCCAAAGGGGGCAGTGATTGGGAATACAAGAAAGGCATGTAAGGAAAGAATTATGCACTACTCTGGCCCATCCAACAGATTAAAAATTCTGCCTTCTATACCAAAAAGGCCTATTTTTATTCAGGTTTGTTACTCATGCATAGTCAGCTCTGAGTATACATGATGGGAATTGACACAGAATGTACAGGAACCAAATGAAAAAACACATACACACACACACACACAGAGGGAAATATAGCAAAGCAAAAAGTCAAAGGCCGTTGCCTTGTAGAATCTAACCTGCTTAATAGGACCTGTACTGTTTGTATGAGATGATTTTATCTTCACTTTACTCAGGAAACGCTTTGAACATAATATTAGGCAACAGGACTGAAATGTATCATTTTTCTCACACAATTTTCAATAAAGTTAATTTTCAAAAATTAGCTCCCTATGGCCATGGAGGAATCTTGACATGCAACCTTAACAAATGCAAAATTTAAAGGGAAAACAGGGCAGCAAAAGCTGACGTAAGAGAGGTGAAAATTACAGAAGAGGATTAATATCTTATCTACAACTTTCCAGACGGAATACAGAAAATGTTCAGGAGAAACGCTGGTAGATCTCAGCTATGAAATTGTCCTTCACAGAAAATGCAGAAGTTATTTAGTTCTGCTCTACCAGGAAATGTAAGATGCCGGAAAGAATCATGTCTTGTAATTTTACTGACAATGTGACAATGGTATGAATAATTATCAAGTAAAATGATGAGCAAGGGAAAAAGTTGGGCAGATTTATCATGATGTTATATATATATAACATACATACATACATACATACATACATACATACACACACATACAACTTTTTATGTCTATCTATCTTTCTATCTATCGTGTGTGTGTGTGTGTGAAATACTACTCACACATCAACACGAAATCTATAGAACCATAAAGCCTACAAACTTGAAATTTGGCATGTATGTTCCTTTTGACTTCTAGGTGCTCACTAAGAAAGGATTTTTCAAAATAACCATCAGAGCATTAGTATTTCGTATATTATTATTAACATACTCTGATGCTAAGGAGTTCTTCTCTCCCTCCCCACCTGAAAATAAATCTGTTCCAAATGCAAAACACAAGCAGATGAGAGGAGTTTCAGTTTTACTTTCACAGCACCCAGCAACTTTAGTACAGAATAGTTAAGCTAACCCACAGCCAGGCTCCTTGCTGTCTCCTTCTTGCTCACACAGCAAATACTGTTTCACTTTCCAAACACATTGATAGGATTCTAGCCAGATGAATACCAATGGATGCTGGTAGGCAGAGGCAGAATTTTTTCCCCCTTATTTTCCTCCCCAAAGACTAAGCCTGACCACATAGTTTCATAGCGAAGCACGGGTATGGAGCTAGTATTTCTATATAAACAACTGTTTTGTCCTAGACAGAGAACCAAGATTTCATTACATATGTTACTTACTTTTGTCCGAGCAAACAGCAGCATGCCAAACATGGTAAAGAGAAACAGGTGAACAGCTAAGAGCAGCATAACACTATTAGGGAGAAAATATAATGCCAACGTTATTCCTTCATGACAATACAGGACATATGTAAGGAAAGAGATGCCATAGGCAACAGTCAGAAGTGAACCAGAAATATATATATATATTGTTCCTACAGAGGAAAATGTGTCAAATGAGGAAACTAAGCCAAATGCATCTAAAACTAAGAAGGAGGTGATGCTACTTTAGTGGACACCTTCAAATGCCAATGAAGAATTTTTCACTCATGAGAGCAGACTTCCTCCTATGTCACCAAAGTCTCAGCTGCAGAAATCTTATTGCCAGCTGGACAGGGGAATGTCATCACTGCTGCTCTTTGGAGCATTTTCATTCTTCCAGCACTGGTCCCAACCCAAACTTATTCAGTTTTCCATTGTTTTCTTTCTCAAATGTTAGTCCCAATGTGAAAGAATGTATTTATTAGAGACTGGCAAATACTAGGAATGTGCATTTTGAAGGTGCAATATTTGGGGGACCAGTAGATCATTTGGCTTTTCCTCCAACTGTCCCAATTCATCAGTTTTTGGAGTTTTCCTAAAGGGAAACTTTCCAAAAGCATAAGCGTTTGTGGTGTTTTACTTATGGAAAACTGCTCAATTATTGCCAGGATAAATGTTGCCCAAATATTCTACTACCAAAATGTAAATTTGACTTACCTCTAGCAGGCACTATGCATTGTGACATACCTTGTAATTTCTGGTAATGTCCTCTTGATGCTTTTTAGTGTTTTCTTCATCATTGAAGAATTCTGAAGAAGGAAGAAAGGTCGAAGGATACGTCTGATCCTCAGGTTCTAAAAAAGAAAACATTTAGTAATGACCACAAAAGCAGAACAATACCTTTAATTAATTCAGCCATTAATTCAATAATCATTATGTATGACTGCAATAACCACAAAGTCAAATAAAATCCACAATCCCTCGCATAATGCAGTCATCAGATTAACACCCAGATCTCTCTATTGCACAGTAAGAATTAGGAAGAAGCCCTTTGCAGAATTAATTTTCACCTGTGACCCTCCTAAAGTCAAAATCAAGACTTGCCGAGTCCTAAAAACTACTGCAAAATAAAATTATCTTAAAAAGCAGATGAACAAGCCCATTAAAAAAAAAATCTGTTTTCTGTATAAGGTGCTATTGCTCTGCAGATAACAGTTACTTACTGTAGATGACTGTTTTAACTAAGTTATTAGCCTCAGTTACCAGATACATTTAACGTTTTTGAACTATCCTGACAAATTTTCATAGGATATGCATCTTCTGTGGCCCTCAGCATGCCATGCTAAGGCAGATATAGTTCTCAAGCATATAGTATTGGTACAGCTTGGAGACAGGTATAAAATTATGCTGGAAAAATTCAACTTCTGTGAAGGTACAGCAAGAACATAATGCCACAATCAGAACAGTGACCCAGATATCTGACAAGGGATATCTGACATTGCAAAATTTTGTTACAGGTTCTATTTGCTTCTTCTCTATATGGTATCATTTACTGATTGCTTAAAACCAGCACCTTTCCTTTCATCTCTCCAAAATGCTAATCTGAGAATTACCACAAATTTATCCATTTTATCCTCATAACTCTATGAAAGAGGTTAAGCTCAGACATCCATGGGCTTTCAGTGCGGTTTAATAATTAAAACTTCAGACTGGAAGATCAATGATGTACTTCATTGGGTGACCTTGGGCAGTCGATTCTAAACTTACTTTGCAGCAGCATTAGGAGGATAAAATAATTGTGGAAGGTACAATCACACACCCTATTTTTTGGAGTATAAGACACACTTTTTCCAGCCCCCAAAATGGGTGGAAATGTCTGTGCATCTTATACAGTGAATGTTGCCAAAGCCTCCACTTACCAGCCGATCCCCACCCTCCCAGCAATTTGCCCCCTTGCATCAAACAGCCTGATTAGCACAAGTAGCTGAGTGCCAGTTGGATTGGCCTCCCAACAATCAGCTGTTTCAGGCTGCAGGAATTGCCATTGCCTATTGCCACCTCTGCGTGCCTCATTTTTAGCCTCCGCATCCTGTTTTCTGCCTCCACGTGCCCATTTTCGGCCTCCGCGCACCCCAGGCCAAAAATGGAAAACGAAATGAAGAGACCAAAACTGGGGGGGGGGGGAGCGCGGAGGCAGCAATAGACAATGGCAATCTCTACAGCCTGAAACAGCTGATCATCGGGAGGTCGATCCAACCAACAATTAGCTGCTTGTGCTAATCAGGCTGTGCTGAAGCTGAAACTAACTGTTTGCTGCAAGGAGGCAAATTTCTGGGAGGCAGGGGTAGAGGCAGATTTTTTTTTTCTTGTTTTCCTCCCCAAAAGCTAGTTGTGCCTTATACTTCGGAGAATCTTATACTCTAAAAATACAGTATATCATTCAGAGCTTCTTAGTGGAAGGACAAAATTAAAAGGATCATATTATTTATCACTGCTGTTGTAATTATCATCATACATATTTATTTTATTACAGAACTCAGACCAAGGTCATGCTAGTTCTAAGTTTTCCATGTGTAAACACAGAATACACACTGACGATAGCAGGTATACAACAAAGCAGCATTCGTGTTTTATTTGTCCCAACTCCATATCAATATGATCATGAGCCATCTTTGAATCCCTGCCTCCCTGACATTCAACCAAGCATCCACATTGCCTTACTTCATGACAGGAAGAACTCAGCGAAATGCTCCAGTCTATAAGGGAGATGAGCAGGACCAGGATGTAGGCCATTAACCATTTGGTTTTCCGAAATTCTTCCCATCCAATTAAGTAGCTCTAGTGAATCAACATATTTGAATATCAGTTAGGCATATTCATAAGCAAAAGGATCCAAATAATTTTCTTGTGATATTTTGGTAAACAGCCAAACCAGCTATTAAGGACATGGAAGATCTGATCATGTGGTAGCTTTGGAGACTATGTTCCCAATCCCAGTCCCTAAAGACAAAATTTTTGATCAAAAATGTTTTAATCTATTTGGTATACATTTATGAGCACAAGCATGAAATCTACATTCCCACCAAACATTATACTTGGATTCTGAGCAACATGAGCAAAAAGGGGTGCTTAAAAGATGAGACAAAGCCTGCATTTAATTTCAGTGTAAAGATAGCATTTAAATTAATTGCAATTGTTATGGTTTCTTTCTAAACATTTAATCTTGTATCTTTCCCTTACAAGAAAGATCACAATTTTGCAGCATCTTTCAGGAGATTAAACCCAGGGTTTGGGACTCACAAATGGCTCAGAGTTCTCAGATAATATGCCTCTAATTTAAATTTTCAAAAATGAAATTTTCCTGAGATTTCATTTTTGGAGCTGCAAACAGGCACAGAGACTTTAGTGTACCCTTTTCCAAACTTGGCTTCTTTTAAGATTACAATCCTCAATCAATAGAAACTACAGGCTGTTAATTTATATTTTAAAACAAATAATCCATCGCATCTGGGAGAATTAATTTGCAATGATTAAAATAATCCCTTTGAACCCACATTTTGGGACCCTGGTAAGTTGCACAGAACAAAGAGGAGATTTGTATCATAATCATCTTTATAAGTTACCAAGAAGTCCCAGTGATAGCAAAAGGAGCAAATCTATCCTGCTATGCTACTTTTTTTGTATTTCAGAAGAAAGGTAATTATGAGTGAATGGGTTATTTCTGGATACAGTCATTGTTTACTCAGCTGTAACAGCCCGCAGAGTGCCAAGGAGACACTGCAATTTGTGTGCCAAGGAGACACTGCAATTTGTGATGCATCCATCTTTCAGCATCAGCCTACCTTAAATATTTTGCAAAGGATTATAATGCAATTATGTTAAAGATATATGATGTATTCAGCTTCCCTAACTAATGTATATAACCACCTTTGATAAATATATACCTCTGGATAGTTCAGACATTACAATAAACTGCCAATACAGCTGCACTTATATTGGGTTCAACTAAGATCCTGGCTTAACACATGGGGAAGAATCAGGTCTTCACAGCCTTCTAGAGGCCCAAAGGGCCTTCAAGGTCTCAGAGGGGAAGGATGTTCCATAGGGCAGGTGCTATGACTGAGAAGTTGCATCTCCTAGGTCTGGTTAGATGACATAGTTTAATAGAGGGGACCCAGATTATGCCCACTCTGTCAGATCTGATAATAGATAATCTTGGAGAGAAGCAGCTCTGCAAGTAACCTGACCCTGTGCCATACAAAGGTGATAACCAGCACCTTGAATTGTGCCCAGAAGTATAATAGAAGCAGTGCACCTTCTGTAACAACGATGCAAACCTAGCAGACTTTAGTGCACTCTAAAGTGTACTAAAGCCTGCTAAAATGTATTCAGTACCATGAAGTTTCTGGGTGTTCTTCAAGAGCAGCCATGTAGAACGCATTGTAGTAGTTAAACCAGGAAGTTACTAAGGCCTGAAATACTGTAAGCAAAGACTTCTGGCCCAAGAACAGGCACATTGGGCATAGAAAATGGATTTGTAAAAAAGTCCACTAACCACAGCTGCCATCTGTTCTTTCAACAGGAACTGTAGGTCCTGGAGGTTCCTAAATTGCATACCAATTCCAGCCAAAGGGATACCATCAAGAGTTAAAGGTGGAAAATTTCCAGATCCAGGAGGTCCCAAACCCAAACCCAACCCAACCTGCCAGAGTTGAGTCACGGATTTCCCATCCAGACTCTCACAGCCTCCAGAAACTGAGAAAGCACCTTGAAAGCATTGTTTGCCCAGCCAGAGGTTGATATATATCTACATTTTATGCATAATTATAAATCATATCTTACCCAGTGGTTTCCTGTAGATGTTAAATAGGGGTGAGGAGACAAACACTTCACAGAGAAGGGGCCTAGGGCTACATCCAGGCTTGGGATTCTCCCGGTGTAACAACTGGTTCGCTAATCACACGCATGCACAACTATCACTATTACTTACCTTCAATGTTACTTCAGGAAAGTAACACAGTTGAGGCATAGCAATCTGTTCTTCCGTGCAAATCAGTTGAGTAGATATAGGTGAGTACAGTGCAGAGATGGGTGGGTGGGCCCAGTGGTGGGATTCAATTTTTTTACCACCGGTTCTGTGGGCGTGGCTTGGTGGGCATGGCAGGGGAAGGATACTGTAAAATCTCGAGTCAGAGTTGGTATTTGCCGGTTCTCCGAACTATTCAAGACTTCCGCTACCAGTTCTCTAGAACTGGTCAGAACCTGCTGAATATCACCTCTAGGTGTGCCCACATGACTGTTGAAGTGAACCAGTTCGAAGCCACCTGATCATTGCAGCTAGGGGTATCCCTGAACCAGTCCAGACTGGGAGAATCCCACCTCTGGCTACCTCTCTTCCTTCCTTACTCCTTTCCCTCAAATCTGGCTTAGAAGGATATTGAAATCTGCTGCTCTCCAAAGGTCATTCACAAGTTCAGTCAATGCTATCTGAGTAGCATTCAAGGCCTTCTCCAGCGTGCTTTGAAACTGAGCATTTGTTACCTTCTCATCAACCTTCCCTTAAAAAGATTAAAAATCAGGCAAAGTTATCCAAGACGTGATATGGTATGTATCTCAGAGCTCACTAACCTTTACAGAGATGTCTACTATAAAGACAAGGAAGCAAAGCACTTCAATGCTTTCAGTCAGGCCACAAGGAGGTTTCCAAGCTTCTGAGCGATATCGAACATCTGATGTGACAGTAAGCGAAGAAGGTGTTTCAATAAAAGCAAGAGCCAGGATTAGTGTAATGGTGAGAATCAAAATCCTTAGAGAGAGAAAAAAAAAAACACATGTGGCAATTACAGGGGGGGAAAAAGGCCAAAAGTCATTTTCCAAAATGTTTCATGTCATAAAGTGAATATGCGGTTTCTAAAATGTTGTTTCATGGTGAAATATAATTCAGTTGGCAAAAGCCTCATCAAGTTTTATAAAGACTCCTCGCTCAGCTGCGTGTGGCAACAAATCACCTGAAGATGCCAGCTAGGATTGCTGGCAAAGCAGCAGGAAATCTATTGTGTCATCTATTGTATTATCTAAACCAGTAAATCGTGCAGCTCAACTCTGCCCTCACAGAAACTGCTCCTATTTTTAAAAAGTCCTTGAAAGAGAAGCAATTAGCGAAAAACTAAAATACTGAAATTTGGAAGCATCAGGAAGGATTGGTGGGATTAGAAAAAGCAGCTGATCTACCCAACGAAACAGAACAGCGTGGGGGGAAAAGTTCTCACCATTGGCAAACTTCTGAATAATACCACCGATAAAGCCACAAGGAGTTAGAATCCACACGATGATTTATAGAACGATACTAAAGAGGTGAAAGATAGAGAGATGATTCAAGCATCACTTTTAATTGGCTCTTCAAATATGGAAGTTCAAGTTTTATAGGTAAATAATAACACTATCGAGGAAACATCTATTAATTACTACACACATTTGGGCCAAAGTAGACATTCTGTAAACATAAAACATGCAGTTATGTATCAGTTCTGTTTTAGTTCATTTCAGATAAAGCTTTCTTTTTTACATGTTTCCAGAATAGTTACCATAGTCCACAGTTTCTATGAGTTTCATTTATTTATTAAATTTTCCAACCATCTCTTATCAAAACAGGATCCTTCTGCCAGCCGAATGGCATCTCTGCCACAATCTTCCCATATCATTTTTTGAAAAGCCTCTGAAGGTTGCGAAAGTCCTACTGACTGATTGGAAGCCCATTCAATAAGACGCTCACTGCTACAACCAATGGCATGACCATTGCTATGCCATGAAGCTAAGCCATCGATACAGGCGGTCCCTGATTTACAACCATTTGTTTTGTGACTGTTCTAAATTACAACCCTGAAAAAAGTGACTTACTGTTGGCCCATATATTTATGACAGTTCCAGCATCCTCACAGTCATGTGGTCAAAATTCGGGGACTTATCAACCAGCATGTGTTTACAATATTTACAGGATTCTGGGGTCACGTGATTGCCACCTGTGACCTTCTCAGTCAGCTCCAGAAAGCAAATTCAATGGGAGAAGCCAGATTCACTTAATGGCCATGTGATTCACTTATACAACTGCAGTGATTCACTTAAAAACTATGATAAAGTTGCAAAAATCAAATGTGACTCATTTAACAACTGTCTTACTTAGCAACAGAAATTCTGTTCCCAATTGTGGAACATTCAAAGATGTAAAAACATAACATCCACGTAATATTTTTGTTACAAACATTCTGAATTATCTGATGTTATAGATCAGTTGTGTCAAACTCACGATGACATGGCGTCATCATGTGACATATCACAACTTTTTCCCCTTCGCTAAACCAGGAATGGGCGTGACGCATCTGGCCTGCAGGCCGAAAGTTTGACAGCCCTGCTATAGGTGATAAATCTAATCATAAACTAAGTATAAATCAACATTTCAGCAGGAAAGAAGAGTACTGGAGCTTTTACTAACAGTCTTTTACTTAAAACAGTACACTAGGACCAAAGTATACATATGACAGGTAAACTTTTACCTGAATTGCATCTTCAATGAATACTACAGCTTGGTTGAAGTAGAGGTCAGGGTCATTGATGCCTGCAAGATTCAAAAACACAGTGGTTGTAAAATGGTTATAGAATGGCATTCTTTTGTTTATTTGGGAGTGTTCAAACATATTTGTTAACATATCTTAATGATTCAAAGCTATTTCAAGGAACAATTTAAAAAATGAGGATGAGAAACTCCACACCCTTCTTTTGACTAATATCAAGAAAAAGACAAAAGAATTGGCTGTTGTTTAAGTTACTTTAACAAACTAGCCTTTTATGAAGTACATTAACTATATTTTGAAAACTAGCTTATAAGAAAAATCTTATCTTTCCAATGTACTTCTCAAACTGTGGCGAGAGGAGGGCTAATACAAGGTGTAAGTCAGAGACATAGATTACTTCAGTTTTAAGTGCTACCCTCTGCAATCTCAAGCAAACTTCATTTCTCTTTCATGCACATACATTATACTGCATTTCTCTCTCTTGAAGCCAGCTCCCAATTCTAATATGTATTACAATCACATTAAACTCTTTAACAATATGGTTAAGAATTACTAAAATAATACACACAGGGAGCTGTGAGTTTGTTATCAGATCAGGTAGCAGACTCTTCTCAACCAACCCATTATACAAGAGCAGAGCAGAAATATACTTATTTGTCAGAATGCTAGGGCAGCAATAGACATCAACAGACATACAGACATAACCAATATCTATATACTATGCAAAAGAAATAACCAACAAACCAAGAAGTAAAAGAAAACAACCAAAACACTTCACCATCAGCAATCAGCACCCAGACAAGCATAGATTAACTCAAAGATTAACATCAGACCAACAAACTAACAATACCCAAATCAAGGAACTGCCAAATAAGCCCAGTAAACAGCCCAATCAAAGAACATCTAAACCACCCCCACCAACTCTAACAGGGCAAGCAACTAGAATATAAACTGAGAGTAAACCCTACTCCCTACTAACACTGATGTTGCGTAGTTAGGGTAATGAAATGTCTGCAAGAAAACAACCAAACTCAGAGAGCACCAAGCACCCCTAAAATCTTTAATTTCGAAAAAACAAAACAAAAAACAGAAAAAAGCCCTTTCCCACAGAAAGGGTTATTTACAAATGGATTCTTATTCTTTTTAGTAGCTTTTTAAAACTAAAAAGAGCAAGCAGACAAAGGGCAGGGAAGAAATGGCGAACTGAAAGTGGCTTTGCCAAGCGGAGCCGATAACCACAGAGGAATGAAGAGCCAACAAGTAGACTCGTTCTTTTATAATTTCTCTCTGGAGAAGCAGAGATCTTGAGATCATCCACAAGAGCCCCGATAGCCATTCATCCCAAAGAGACTGCAAAACAGCAGTTTCTGACAGTTTAACACTCTAGGTGAAGAAGGAGTAGCCATGTTGTTCAAACAGCAGTAGCATCTTCGATTTGTTATCCACACAAGTCCTAAACTAGTTAAAGAAAGCTCATTTAAACTACCGAGTCAAAAACATACATGTTCATTTATTTACTGGGGAAAATGATCCAATGCTATAGATTTGTAAATGGAAAAGGCGTGTGAAAATTAAGTTTCAGTAACTGGTATGCTCCCCCGCCTTCGTGAGCAATAACTGCAATTAAACGTGTCCCATAACCACTGGTGAGTCTTTCACATCGGCTTGAAGGAACTTTAGCCTGGTTCTTACAAAACAGCTTCAACACGGGGAAGTTGATGGACTTCCTCACATGAACTGTCTACTTCAGACCTTTCCACAACATTTCTATAGGATTAAGGTGAAGATTTTGACTTGGCCATTCCAAACATTAAAACTTTTTTCCATTTTAGCCATTTTTTGGTCATACAACTTGCGTGTTTTATACAGCTGTCTTGCTGCACGACCCACTTTCTCTTGAGCTCCAGTTTAGATACCCGGATATTTTCCTGTAACAGTTTGTTGGTACAATCCAGAATTCATAGTTCCATCAATGATGACAAGCCACCCTGGTCCAGAAGCCGCAAAGGGGACCCAAACCATGATATTGCCACCATCATATTTCAAACACAGGATAAAGTTCTGAAGCTGAGAATGCAGTGGTTACCTTTCACCAAACAGATGATTTTCAATTCAAGCCTAAAAGTCGTATTATGATCTCATGCACCCACAAAACATTCTTCCAATAGACTTCTGGCTTCTCCATGTGGTCTTTTGCAAACAGTACATGAGCATTTTGGAGAGGTGGGGAGAAGAGTCCTAGCTTTCTCCTTGCAATCTTACCAGGCAAACCATTATTGTTCAGAGTTCTCCTGATGGTGGTTTCAAAAACACTGACATTTGCCAATGCAAGAGAGGCCTTTAATTCCTTAGATGTTATTTTGGGGTTCTTTGAGACCTCCCAGAGTATTATATGCCTTGCTCTTGGTTAGTCAACCATTCCTAGGGAGGATAAACAATAATGTTGAATTTGTACACAATCTGCCTGGCAGTGGGCTGTTGAAGTCCAAACTCTTTGGAAATAGTTTTGTAATCTTTTCCAGGTGAGCATCAACAACTGTTCCACAGAGACCCTCTCTTGTTCAAACCATGGTACACTTCCACATACTTGCATTATGAAGATCAGGCTTTAATAATGAACACTCAGAATTCTGTCTTAAAATAACTCACAACCTGATTATCACCCCACTGATTGAAACACCTGACTGAAATTTTCCCTTCAAATGAACCAATTATCCTAGAGATTCACACACTCTTACCTTTTACTTATTCATCATCTTCAATGAATAAATTAACAAGTATAATATTTTTTACTCATTCATTTCATTGGATTCTCTTTAACTAGTTGTAGCATTTGTGTGGAGAAAAACCATGTTTTAAGTCATATACTGCATATGCAGAAGTCCTGAAAATTCAAATGGGTTCTCAAACATTTAAGCACCATGGTAGCTGAATACACAGACAGCTAAAGAAAATGGAGCTTTTCTGAAGTACTGCACACTAAGTATTCTTCTTCAGCAGACTTAGCACCAACCACAAAATTCAACATTTAGGTATTCCCAAGAAGTTTAATGGCAACAAATGATTTAGTTTATTTTTTCTGTTTCATTTGCTGATGTTATTATGCAACTGATGTATTGTGTTTGAATAATCTTGTAAGAATTTTGCTTTGTAAATTACTTGGATGTTGGGAAACCTTGTATTTCAAAGAAACAATTGGAGCAAGGAATTAATAGTTAAGTAATACTCTGAGAGCGAACTTTGCCCAGCCCAAAGGTGGGGAAAAAGAGTAAGGCAAGAGCAGACCTGATTTAGCAAGAAGAGAAATACTTGGGATGACTTAAAAATATCAGAGAATATCACAATACAATTTCTAACCAGAATAATTGTACTGTCACCAATATAGATGATTGCCAGATGGAAACAAAGAATTAAGAGTTCAGTATTCCTTTGCTGCCATCTAGAAGTCAATTGGGTTTTTTATTAGATACAGTAGTCTTGCAATTATTAAGAACAGAAAATTCCATTCAAATTGCTCCTTAGGTGTATTTCAGAATTAGGGGGCAAAGATTGGATTTATACAATGCATTTTGCATTGTTGATGAACACATTGTTACTTTATAAAAAGGGTAAAAACATGCTGAGATGTGTATTAAAGAAATTCCTAGACTAGCTGTCAATCAAATTAAATCAATTTGGTTGTTTTATGCCCATAATCACCCTATATATTTGAAAGATGTATATCTAGCTTGAACTTTCATGTGCAGAATAATATGCACTATGCCCATTAGGTTCCAGAGGGTTATTCCCTTAAGAAAATTGCTTAGGAAGGTAGTCTAATATGCTTCGAAATGGTTTCAAAACCACCTTGTGCAGGAAAGTAATATCAGATGGTTTACTGCTGACCTCTTCTACAAGATCAAAGGAAATCAAATGAAAGAAGCATCGTGTGTAACAGATGATTGCAACAAATTACATGTTACTTCACCCTGACCCTTTATTCTCTACACTTCAGTACATCCAATAAATATGTGTTTATTGGTAGAGACATAACTAGGATAATTAGATAAGTAGAGCAAGGAAGAAAAAATGGGTAAATCTCTAGAAAATCACAATAGACCAGAAACATCATTCTGCTGAAGTATTAAGCAAGAGCGTTTCAAACTGTAGAAACAATTCCAGGAAATACTTCTTATGGAAGGCTGAGAATAGAATGTCTAGAGACACAGCTGAACTCTTGTCTCACTATCATGTGAATGTAATTCATAAATATATTCCTAAAAATTTACTCCAAGTCCTAGAGCAGGGGTCCCCAAACTTGGCAACTTTGAGACTTGTGAACTTCAACTCCCAGAATTCTAGGAGTTGAAGTCCACAAGTCTTAAAGTTGCCAAGTTTGGAGACCTCTGTCCTAGAGGCAGGAGGCATCTAAAGGGGAAAAAAAGTTGGTAGACAGGCCTTTATTTATCAAATTGTAAGGAAAAAATGACAGGTAGGGAAGACCTCAGGTCCCTTGTTCTCTCTGAAAAATAATTATCTACAAGGAGTAAACAACAGATGTAATAATATTCAAAAGAGCTCTCAGTCTAACTGTATGGAAAGCTTTAATTCGTTCCAGTTTAACAAGGGAATTGACAGGTACTTAAACCAGGAAAGGAAAAAGTGGCTCAGTCTTGTTCCATCTTGTAAAATCATGGGAGACTTTACTCCGTGCTAAGCTGGCCTATCCCTAATTGAATAATTCTTTTTCCATACAATAACTGCTTCTAATTATCAAAATGTTCTGTGAGAAAAAGTTTATGAATGTTCAGTTGGAATTTGCTTTCCTGAAACATAAATCCCTAAGCCTGTATCCGGCTGCCTTGATGACCCACTTCAGTGCTGGAAGTGTTGTGATACACCATTCATTCTTCTCTTCTCAAAACTAAATACAGATAGTTCCCGACTTACAACCACAACTGAACCCAAAATTTCTGTTGCTGAAGCGAAGTTAAGTGGGTTTTTCCCCCATGTTATGACCTTTCTTGCCACATTTGTTAAGTGAATGGCTGCCATTAAGTTAGTAACATGGTTAAGTGGCTTCTCCATTGACTCTGCTTGTCAGAAGGTCACAAAAAGTGATCCTATGACCTTCCCAGGTCACTGCAACCATCTTAAATCAGTCAGTTGCCAAGCATTTACATTTTGATCACATGCCAATGGAAATGCTGCAATGGTCAAAATCTGGTGGTCACATGACCCCTGCATATTGAAACCATCATAAATATGAGTCAGTTGCCAAGTGTGTAAATGTTGATTTCATGAACAGTGGGGATGCTGCAACAGGTGAAAACTTTCATAAGTCACTTTTTTCAGTGCCATTGTTAACTTTGAACTGTCACTAAATAAACCCTTCCAAGTCAAGGACTACCTGTATTGCCCATTATTTCAATTCCTTCATGGGATTTAATGTTCTCCTAATTAGTCTCATTGCCTTTCTGAACCTGATCCACCTTCTTTGAATCCTTAAAAGGAAGTGTGGATCCAGCCATTGCAAACCAATTTGGTTTGAAAACTATTTCTGTTGTTGCAGTCGAAAACTTCATTGGTCTTTTTAATTTTTAAATAGCCACATCACGAGGCTAATTTGCAATCATTTTTCACTCAACTACCATTCCAAAATCCTTCATACACTGTGAATAACCCAGGTATCCTGATTCTATTTATAGGTATATTACTCTTTTATCTTAAGTGAAGAATTTTACATTTGTTATTTATAATTCTGTTATTTTATTTTCAGCCCACTTCTCTAATCTAGGAACTTCATTTTGCATCATGTTTCTGATAGTAATGTGCCACATTTCTGTAAAGAATGTTATCCACTCACTCACTATTCAATTAATATTTTAAAATAACATTTTAAGGACAAAATTGTTCTAAGAAGAAATGCGACAGGCATCAGCCAGTCTTCAGCAAGCCTACAGCTTTACTGTTGAACAATTCTGTGCTCTATCACAAAATCAAGCTATGTATTGGGTGCATTGTGCAAAGGCCACATCACTCTGAAACCACGATGCACATCATTGCCGTTACTATCCATGTTACCAAAAAATGTTAAAAACAATTGTTATATAGTCAGTTAACGGATAATGGAAGACTTTGGAGTAGATTTTCAGAAATATTATAGGCAAAGTAACTCTCACAGCATAAAAATGAAAAACTAATTTTCAGCAATTTGAAGGTTTATTAACAAATTATCTTAACAAAAATGATCTGACACAAAAGTTATAATAAACTGTTATTTACAACAGTACTACAAAATGAAAAGGCTTTATCAGAGTTTCAATAATTATAAAATGGTCACCAAAGACTACATGAGATTTTTATAGATTGCCGTTACAACAACTGATTCCAGTGCAGGACCTTCAACTAAAATATGTGATCTTGATAAGGATACTTTCCTAGCACATGTGGCTGGTAACACTACTCTTGTCCAAGACTTCCCAACTGATTAGTATGATATACAAGAGTATTTAGAAATAAGGCAATTATTTCACCCCTGTCAAATTTATTCTCAATTTGAATCTTAAAGAACAGAGGTGTCAAACTCAAGGCCCGTGGGCCGAATGTGGTCATATCTGGCCCACGGGCCCAACCTCAAAAATGTAAGGGGCCAGCCCGTGTCACTTCGGTCTGGTCTACCCACGTGTCACTTGGGCCCAGTCTACCTGCATTGCTTCGGCCCGGTCTACCCAATGCAAAGAGGAAACATGCTAGCAGTTTGGGGAGTGGCATCAACCTGGCCACACCTAGCCAGCTGGCCACACCCAGCCAGTTGGCCATGCCCGCCTGGCTCTCCGAGGTCAACCACAGCTCTGCTGCAGCCATCAATGAAATTGAGTTTGACAGCACTGTTATAGAATGTAACATGTCACACCAACTTTGTATGAGTGCTGTTTTGTAATTAGAAGCATGTAAACTTCTAAGTTGGATAGAGGGATGAAGAGGATGGAATCAGTAATTCAATACAGCTGAAGTACCATTGAGAAAAAGAGAACAAATCTACAGATGCACTAAAATTTAGCCTTAAAATTTAGGTAGTCGTCGACTTAAAATAGTTCATTTAGTGACTGTTCAGCATTACAATGGCACTGAAAAATATGACTTAAGACTGTTTTTCACAGTTACCACTTTTGCAGCATCCTCATGATCCTGTGATCAAATGTTCAAATGTTTGGCAGCTGGTTCATACTTACGACGGCTCCACCATCCCAAGGTCATGTGATTGTGCGATCTTCTGACAAGCAAAATCAATGGAGAAATCAGATTCACTTAACAACCAGGTTACTAACTTAGCAACTGCAGTGATCCACTTAACAACTGTGGCAAGAAAGGTCGTAAAATGGGGCAAAATTAATTTAACAAATGTCTCACTTAACAACAGAAATTTTGGGTACATTTGCGATCGTTGAGGACTACCTATATTAAGAAATAAAGGGAAGAATTTTTGCAGAAGGTACTTTGAATATCTTCCTTATCACTTTACCGATGAAGATGATTTTTCAAATATGAGGGAATCGGTATCACCATGTATGTATTTTTAGTTTTGACTATACTCTATTTTTCAATATGACTTAACAGTGGTCCTACATCTGCTAAATTGATCGTGCTGAACTTATTTTCCAAATGTCTTTCCCATGTCCTCTCATTTATGTTAAGGACAAAAAAAAATGATGAAAAGTGTACTGTGCCTTTATCAGTCCATTAGGAATCCTTAAGGCAGGTGATTTAGCCACTAGTAATTTCTGATTTGCTGTTGTGTCCTAGGAACTGAGAGGTGCAACATTTAAAAGTTTATTCCAAAGAGGTTGGCTTTTAATTATCCTTTATGGTCTCTAAAATTAAGTTGGGAAAGGAAGAAAATGCTCAGGCAGGAGTCCCAAATTATCTTTCTCCCATTCTCCTTTCTATTAGGAACTTTGGAATGGGTTGAAACCTAAGTACGTATTCAAGGAAGAAATGTGTAACTAGTTTCACTTAGCAGATTATCTTAATTTTATTTGGAATTCTGTGTGAGACTGTTGTCTTCCCTTATTTTCCTCTATTTCTGTATTTGCCCAATACAGAAAGCTCCTTTTAAGATCTGTCTTCATTAGTTTAATAAAACTCTTCCCTATGTGAAAGATCACATAATTACACAGCTACTCCTGTTTCCCAATAAGTAAAAGGGTTAATTTCTGTATTTCTTGACTTTGGGCAAGAAGATCCAAAGCATTTGATTTTTCACAGGCCTGGGCTGACAGAAGACTTTTGTAGAAGGACCAAAAACTCTCATCTAGACAGACGAGAATATGTCAGGGGATTCAGCCTAACCTTACAGTACAGCCTCTCTTAAATAACTTTTCTGAGGTTTCCTTTAAAAATGGGATCTGCCAGTGATGTTTTCTTATCCCCCTCTCAGCTTACAATCCTGGCTCTGCAAGTATGCAAGCCATAGAATATCTCACAGGATGTAATGAGTATAATCTGAAGAAGACGACTGCAGTGTGAAATGCTTCTGTTCATAGTTTTAGGTGGCTCCTCTCTCCATTCTCTTCTAGCATAACTATTCCTCCTGTACTCTATTGCCTCCCAAACAACAAATCAGTCCTATGAGATCACTGAGCATTTTTCAGTCTTGAGTTCCACTTCTGGAGATATTTTTCCCCCATTCCTACAAATGGAAATCCTATCTTGTAGTACTAAACTTTTTGAGGATCCCCGCCTTTCCCCACCGAAACAGATCTTAGCTGACACATCTGTCTCAATCAGAGAGAAATAGAGGATACGACTGAAGGAACGAGGTTTTAATCTCATGTCACAGCAGGTCCAAAGCATGTAGGGCAGTGTTTCTCAACCTTGGCATCTTTAAGATATGTCTTAAAATTCCCAGACAGGTTGAGAAACACGGTGATCTACTGCATAACACCACTCCATGCGCCCGCGGCTGCTGTTTCACTGCATCATGCGAAAGTGCCCTGTTCCTTGGCTCCATCTTTACAGCGAACAGTCTATCTGACCCCAAATGGTTGCAGCCATACAAATGCCCAATGGCTGGGTTCATCCCACAGGCTAAATAAACTCAAACATACCATCTATTGGGTCCGGGCATTAGGTGAACCTGGGTCTCTGTTCTGATTGACATACTGTTCCACTGCAACCCTAAACCGGATCTCTGTGATCCACTCGCTCCAGGACCAACAGAGAAACGAAGGCTCTCAACACTCCTGATCATACACCTTGGAGACAGATCCAAACGTACTTCGCAGTGGGGTCTGCAAAGCAAAGCTCCCCCACCCCACATCCCATGGGCCAACCCCAGTCTCCCTCAGGACCCTGGAACCTGGCATCCGATAGTCCATCCACGATTTTAAGACTCGTTTCCTAAATTAAATCGAAAGCTCCGGGAGCTTTCATTCTGACCAAGCCCCGGCTTGGGAGAGAGGCGAGGGGAGGTTGAGTTTTCCATCGCCAGCCTTCCTCGCCCTGCAGCGTCCAGTTCCTCCCAGTACCGAGAAGCAGCCCAACAGGCACTCCCAATTGTCCCAGGTCTCACCAGGCCCTCCAGAACGAGGCGAGGAGGCCGCGGACACGCAGCAGTGTCCATCATCCTCCAGGTCTCTATTGTCCCTGGCCGAGTAGAGCCGGTGGCGCTTGGCAGCCCCTGGCAGCGGAGGCGGCAACAAAGGCTCTTTTTCCAGCCTGCTTCCCTGCTCCATGAATCGCAACGTTGTCGGCGTACTAGGCAGAAACGGCGCCTGCAGCAGTCCCACATCCGAGAAAAACCGCCGGGCTTCCGCTCTCGCTGGTGATAAGTGGTGAAGGCACAGCTCCGCCCGCTACACGTGATCGGGAAGAGAGCTTGGAGCTGCCGCGCTTCCTCTTGCGCGAACTCAAGTTGTGCGGTGAGGTTGGTGATCGGACATCCTGATGTTTTCAGCTATCCTGATGCTATCCTGATATCCTCATCAGATATCGTGGTGAAGAACATTTGCCTTATCAATCAATCAGTCAGAACAGAGGGACCTTGGAGGTCTTCTAGTCCAGCCCTCTTCTCAAGCAGGAGACCCAGTACCAGTGGTGGGATTCAAAAAAATTTACTACCGTTCTGTGGGTGTGGCTTGGTGGGCATGGCGGGGAAGGATACTGCATTCCCACCCCACTCCAAGGGGAAGGATGCTGCAAAATCCCATTCCCTCCTTGCCCCACTAACCTGCTTTCCAGCTCCATTCTCCTTTGCGGGGCAACCAAAGAAGACCCAGCCAATCAGCTGAGAGGCAGAGAATAAATGGGGGCGGAGCCAGTAGTCAGAGGTGGTATTTGCCGGTTCTCCAGACTATTCAAAATTTCCGCTACGGGTTCTCCAGAACGCGTCAGAACCTGCTGAATACCTGGTCTGTAAGGGGCATGCATAAGTGCACCATAGTGCCGTCCCTGTCCTGTTGTCCCCATTTATTCGTACCTACTGTATTTCTTGTATTCTTACTCATGTTTATATTTATACCTATTATCTTATAGGCGATTGACAAATCAAATAAATAAATAAAATACCCTGATGAAGAATATTTGCCTTATCAATCAATCAATCAGAATGGGGCTGGAAGGGACCTTGGAGGTCTTCTAGTCCAGCCCCCCCCGCCCCTCCCCGGCTCAGTGGCGTATTAACTATTAAGCAGACTAAAGCATGTGCTTAGGGCACTAGGTCCAAAGAGGGCACCACAAAGTTGAGAAAGAAAGAAAAAAAAAGTGAAGATTTGTTAAAAAAAAATCTTGTATGTAGAAAGGAGGTGGGCACTAAGATTTGTCAGTGCTTAGGACACCAGTGAACTTAATCTGCCACTGTGGGCCCTGCTCAAGCAGGAGACCCGGTACCATTTCAGATAAGTGGCTGTCTAGTTTCTTCTTCAGTGATGAAGCATCCACGATTTCTGAAGGCAAGCTAACCCACTGGTTAATTGTCCTCGCTGTTAGGAAGTTTCTGCTTAATTCCAGGTTTAATCTTTGTTTCGTTTCCAACCGTTGTTTTTTGCCCTGCCCTCTTCTTTGTGGCAGCCTCTCAAATATTGGAATACTGCTATCATGTCACCCTCAATTCTTCTCTAAACCAGGCCTTTGATCGTCTTAGTTGCTCTTCCCTGAACTTTTTTCTAAAATCTCAACATCTTTTTTTGTAGTTGTGGTGAGCAAACTGGGTTGCAGTATTCCAGATAATCATTAGTGGCATAGGGAAGGATCTCTATATCTCCCCCTTCCCCTTCCCCAGCCTCAAAAAGTGTTGCAACAAAAGAATTAAACTTTAAATTAAAATGAAACTTGTCCTGTGTTGTCCAGAAAGTATATAGTTAATTGGGAATTGGGATAGTTTAGGAATTGGGAGCTGTCCCCATAAGGGAATGCCTCAAATCAGATTAATGGCTTCTTCCATGTTTTGCAGTAATGAGCTTCATTGGGTGCCTATACACTATATTAAGAAGTGCATGTTTTTGTCTGTTCTGAAAATTTCGGTTGCCCAACCTTCCCCTAATGTTGTATCTCTGGTAAAGTCATCATTCTTAAACAACAGACATTCAAACTGTTATCAGTCTCAAACAATTAGGCCTCAATTAATGAAGAGATTCAACTTTATATGTAGAACTTTGAATCTTCAGTTTTTTTCTTCAAACTTTCTTGTTTTCCTGAGCAAAACTCATATTTTATAATAAACAATTGGTATGTGTTTTCTCAAAGTCGTATCTGTACTGCTTTGAGATGTTAAACAGTAAATAATATTAAATTAACAAGACATGATGTTATCGACTCAGTAAAGGGATGTAATTAATTACTCTAATGCTGGTAATGTGTGATCATTCTTTAAATACAGTTAATAATTGAAGCTGATAGTGGGGTAATCCTTTGGACAAAAATGAATTCTTATCTAGCATTTGTAATATAATTTAAGACCTGGTATTGTATGGGGTGAGAAATGGTCTGAATCAGTTTAAAGTTTAGAATATAATGCCACTAGTGATAAAAAGTAGTTAAAAATAAAAAGATGGGATACAAATAATAATAAAGATAAATAAAGAACTAAAGACTCACCATTATTTATTTAATAAATTTGTATAATCACTCATACATAGTTACTTCAGATAGTGTACAAGATTTAAAAGCTACAATTAAAAATTCACAATTAAAACTTACCTACCCACCTCATTATTATTATTTTTTGTTGAAAATGAATAAAAATGAACTGGTGATTTGTTAACAAGGGCTGAATATGGGGAGAAGAGAAGGGTGGAAATGGCTTTAAGTATATTTATAATTGCTGCAAAGATTGGAAATTGCTTCTTTAAGAATTTTTTTCTTTCTATTGTTTTCAGCACTTTTTTGTTTGCATTTCTTTTATATTGTTTATATCTAACTTTTAACTTTGTAAAAACGCATTTTAATAAGAATTGTGTTTTTAAAAAAGTGGTAAAAATACTTGAAGTTGGAAGGTCAAGAACACTTTCTGAATTCTTCCTACGTGCCCTGTTTGTAAGTTTATAAATTAAGAAGCATTATCAAATATTATAAATACAATATTTACCCCGGAACTATCATTGCATGGAAAACAAATTTAATATTTAAGGATACAACACCAGAATATTTAATATTTTGAGAAAGCGTTTTTTTTAATAATGAAAATCATGTTTTTGGCATTTTTCAGATGAAGCTGTTCTTGGAAATTGACCTGCCACATCTCCAGGATTTTATTCTGTGAGACAAAGGTTGTTGTTCTCCACTTGTAACCTTTCACTTTTTCCTTCTTTTTCTTTCAGCAAAGAATCTGATAAAGAAAAAAAAAATAGCTGCATGTGCCGTTTTTTTTATCAGTAGCACTTGGAGCTGTTCATTTTGAAGTGCACCCTTTGCAGTCAGCTAGAATTTCCACAGCATATTTAGCATTAGAACCAAAAAGATGTACATAAAACCCCCATTTAAACTCCATCACCATTAAAGACCAGGGTTCTTTTTTAGTAGATGACCATACCAGGAATTAGCCAGTTCTTATACTGCACAAGGAACAGGGATTCTAAGTCAATCTAGTGAGCACAATATTTCCAGCCATCTCTCCCTCCCCCCTCCAGTCTAAACAAGAACACAAATGATTATTTGAATCAGTTGGTGTTTAATTTAGATATCACTCCTTACCATGGGATATAGACAGGAACTTGAAGATGTGCTCTATGAGGCTGAGGGAACTTAGAATGTTCAGTCTGAATAAAATTTTGGGAAGATATGACTGGGTACATAAAATTTTAAGCGAAGTGGTCACGAACAGCTTCCTATGGCAACAAAAACTGTACAAGAAATCATGAATGTGAATTACAGCTGTTCAGATTAAGAAAAAAGTTTGTGTCCCTAAGATCTGTAGAACAGTGGAATGATCCAACTATGGATGTTGTGGATTTTCTATTTCTGGGGGTTTTAAAGAGACCCTCATGTATGGTTTAAATGGCTTTCTTGCACATTTCAGAGAGTTGAACTAGACGTGTCTTATTATTCCAATTCCAATTATTCTCTGGTTATAGGTTGCTTGGTCCAATAAGGCATAGCTGGTACAAAGTTGAGTATCTTTGGGACCCTCACAAGATTTACAGCAATGGAAACTTTTAATTCATTTGTTCATCATATTTGCATTGTAGACATTATAGCCATTTGTAAATTATGTATTTTTAAGATGCTAATTTGTTTATTCATTTATTATTTCCCAACCATCTTGCCTTTAATATTTTAATTAAATATTACGTTTGTTTTCAAATTCAGACTTCAGTTGTGGTTTAAAGTATTTTATAATCTACCTTGGACAAGTTTCATTCTGGAGAGTGGCTTAAACAAATAGACAAACTGTGAATATAATATATCCCATATACATGCAGTCAATATTTTTTAGGATTGATTCAGCAGGCATCCAGCTAGGAATCTATTTGTCATTTTTAAAAAAAAAAACATTTCTAATATGTAACTCTGTTGCACAGTGAGTTATGGAGAAAATGGTATTTCTGACTTGACACAGTTCTGGTTACTTTTTAGTCACACCGGGCAATTTTCAATGTTTCTCTTTTAAATCTAGCTTGCACAGTGAATTCTATTAGAGATGCATGGGGTTGCATAGACTAAATTGTTCATTTTTTCTCTAGCAGTCATTGTCAAAACATGCATAAATATGCATATTGTCACAATATGGATAAACATATCACATTTGAATTAAGGAAGAACAATCCATATAATATGTGATTGCTTTTGTAGCAGACATGTTCTTTTTTTAAATAAAAGTATTGTTGAGGTAATTCCCCATTAGGAGAATGAGCGCATACAGGGAGACGTATTGAGAGAAGTGTTGAATAATACACACACATCACACAGATGCACTGTACAGTAAATGTAGGTTTTTTTACTTTCAATAAAGGTTTAAGCAAAGTTCAAAACAAGCAGTCCAAAGTCATTCACAGGTAAGATCAGTCAGTTTTTAGTCCAGGGATAATCCAATAACAAAGTCCAGTGTCAAAAACAGTTCAGTATCAGACTTACGTCAAATCCATGAATAACAGTCAATTAGAAGGAACAGCAATACTCTCCAACAGAAGGAAACAGAGACTCACTGAGATACACTCTCTTCTGAGACCAAGACTAAACAACCCAGGTTTCTGGCTCCATCTTATGGCCGTTTGTGAAACCACACCTAATTACAATTTTAACATTCCCTTAAAGAGACAGTATTAAAATGTCTATCCTGGTTTATATATTTCCAACCCAAATACC